TGTTTTCACTGGGGGGCGGCCACAATGAGAGAAGAGAAGTGATCTCTCCATTTTGTTTCCGATCAGTTGGCCAGGTCGTGAGAATGCAGCACCTTGACGCACTACGGTGTAGAGTGCTTTCTTTGGGGCGTTCTTCAGGGTCACCTTCCTGCAGCTTCGGAGCTTCAGAAGCTTCCTCCGAGTCACTGTTGTCGGGGAGTTCAATGCTGGAGAAGCGCAGCTCCAGGAAGGAGGAGAAAGGGTGGCCGCCATTGTCTGGAGGCATAGCCCCGAGCACGTCCCGCAGCAGCTTCTCTCCGGTGAGCACAGAGTGAAGGCCCGCGGTGCTGGCGATCTCAGCTGCGCTCTTCCACTTCCACTGCAGACCCTGCTGAGGTGAAGCGTAGAGCCAGAGTACTCTCTCCTCTGATCCGTTGTGGAACACGGGCTCGTTCAGGCTATGTTTGAGGTCGTAGTGCATGTGCACTCTGCTCCACTCGAAGCTCTGCCACGCGTCTAAAAGGCTCTTTTAATAACTTGGCAGCCTCGTGTAGTCAACCAGGTCCAACAGGAAGAGCTCCTTTCTGTACCCCAGGCACCCCCCACATCTCTCAGCAGGGTGAGGCCCGGCGACTTCCAGGATAACTCCTCCTGTTTGTATAGCAGCCGCCTCACAGCCATAATCCTGAAGCTTATCACCCTGGCGGCAACATCTACCAGGCCCTCGCCACCTTCACCCACCGGCAGGCAGAGAAAACCCGAGCTAAGTCAGTGCTTCCTGTGCCACACAAAGTGCGCAAGTGAGCAGTTCACTCTGTTGAGTAGCCAGGCCGGAGCCTGTAGGGCTTTGGTCTTGTGCCACAGCACAGATGATGCCAGGTTATTAGTGACAAGCACTCGCCCATGCCAGCAATTTATCCTCGATTACGTTGGCCAGCTCGGTCAAATTGTTCAGAGCGACGTGTGGGTTTCCCCAGGTAGACCTCCAGGCACTTGATTCCATCAGCCTGCCAACTGACTCCTCCTGGGAGGAGCACAGAATGCATGCCCCACCGTGACCCCAAACATAGAGCCTCACACTTGGCCCAGTTCACCCTGGCAGAGAAGGCCTTCTCATACACTGCTACCGCCCGGCAGAGCACGGAGATTTCCTGTGCGTCATTGACCACGATGCATATGTCGTCCACGTAGGCTGAGAGCCTGCTGATTGCATCCTTTGGTCCTGGGCCGTGAGGCCCGACAGATTTTTTCTCAGGTGGCGTAGGAGTGGTGCAATAGACAGGATGTACAGCAGCCCTGAGAGAGGGCATCCCTGTCTGACCCCCGTCATCACGGGAAAATGGGCTCCAAGTCGCTAGTTGATTTTGTTGAGACTGGATGTGCCGTGTACAGGAGCCTAATGTGTAAGCTGAAAGCTTGGACGAAGCTGAATGACGTTAGCAGTTTAGCCAGGTACTCGTGGCTCACTCTATTGAGGGCCATCACCTGATTCAAGAACAGGAGGCCCAAGCTCATGTTGTGCATTTCTGCAATGGAGATGTTATCGTATATGCACCGGCCTGGAGAGAAATATGACTGTTCTGGCTAGATCAGCTGACCGACCACCATCTTAGGACGGTTGATCAGCACCTTTGAGAAAAACTCATAATCGGTGCACAAGAGGGGCACGGGTCACCAGCTTTTATGAGGTGCAGGTCCCCCTTCTTGGGCAGTAGGGTGACCACCACTCTCCTGCAGCTCTGTGGGAGTTCACCCTTGCGCAGGCTCTCTGCCAACAACTCCAGTAGGCATGGGCCAAGCTCAACCCAAAAGGTCGCATACAACTCAATTGGCAGGCCATCAATCCCCAGGGCGCGGAGCTCCTGCAGGGTGAGAGGGGCTGTCGAGGCGCTCCGGTTCAGTCACCTAAGGTAGGTTCCCCTGTCGAGTAACCCCTGGACAGCCTCGTCTTGTATGGTTTTCGTGGTTAATAGTTGGGACTAGAAATCACTGGCGATTTTATCGATTTGCCTCTAGTATGTGGCCGTTTGTCCAACTCGGGTTTGTGAACTTAACATTTTGTTAGTGTTTGGCGGTTTTCCTTTTTGCAAGCTAAATAAATATTTCGAGGGAGAGTCCATCTGTGACAAGTGCTGCATCGATTTGCTCATGAATGAGCGATGCGCCTGCTGGCCTGTGACAGACCTGAAAAGCCGCTACTTCTCCAGCAGCGTATATTCCTCCTACGTGTTGTGGGATGAGATCAACACCGCCTCGAGTGCCAACAGCTCCTCCTGTAGGTGTTGCACCACCTCCTTCCTGGTGGCGGCCTGCTGGCTTACGAACTGTTGACAGAGAGCCCCTGACCTGCGCCTTTGCATTGTCCCACCATTACTGCTGAAAGTTGAAGCTCCAAAGGCCTTAAAGTTTACTTTAAAATCCTCTTCTTTAAGCAGCTGCACATTGAGCCTCGAGTAAGCGCCGTGCTGCTCCGCTCTGGGAATTCACATAAGCAAGGAGACCCAGGTGGTGATCAGAAAACCCGGACGGGACAATTCTGTCACCGAGCAATTTGACGCTGCTGGCGTTTATATGCAGTCGATCACGGCTGGAAAGGCTTATCCTGCCTTGAGAGCAGCAGCGGCACCAAGAGTACTGCCACTGGGCTGGATTGCTGGAGTTGCCACACGTTGAGCAAACAGATCCAGTTTCAGCACCGGGCCGGCGAGCGGCCGTGCGGATTCCGAGTGAGGCCCGGCGGTGTTGTGGTCGAGAGTGCAGTCGAAGTCTCCCCCCCTCCCGTGCGAGCATCGTCCGTGTCGTCTGTCGCCGGTGCGTTCTGCAGCACGCCGAAAAAGAGCTGCCTCTCAGGGAGCTTTGCTGGGCGCGCTGCACGTTAAAGAACCCCAGCCTGGAGTTGTTGAGGACAAAGTCAACAGATATCAAGCCGCCCTGTTAGGTCTCCTTGAAGACTACGGCCCTCTGGTGCAAACCGCGAACTGAGCACAATCGCCACTCCAGCGAGGTTGTCCTCCACGTGGCTGAAGAAGGCCCAGCCACCTCGAGGGTTCTGGCGTTGGGCCTCAAGTTGTGGTGTCAAGGAGCGTTTCCTGGAGGAGAGTCGAGAGGTGTGGGGGGAGAGAGATCTATAGAGAAATTTAGAGACTTTGACTTTTAAACAACTTTTATTGCCGCCAGCAGCAAAAGCACTGGAGGTGATTTCGATATGAAATACAGTCACCAGCAACACAAATGAAAATAAACGCTACAAATCCACGCGCTGTGGCGCTAAAAGCACCGTGCATGACACGAAAGAAAAGTCACGTGGTTGTGGTGGTCATCGCGCACGCCACGGTAGAACGAGCGATGTGGAGAGAAAGGAAGGGGAGGGAGAGTAAAAGGTGGGGAGAGAGCGAGGGGAGTAGAATGCGAGAGAGAGAGCGAGGCAGACACATATCCGCATTTCAAAGTGAGTTCTGTTGCAGGCATCACACGTTCATGGTTAAAGTCTCGCGTCTCTATCACTCCATCCGTTTAGAGAGAGAGATACAGAGAGAGAGGTACAGAGAGAGAGAGGGAGATGGATGTATTTGATGGCTCAGCCTTGCCCATTACGCGATAATGACTGGCGGGGTGGAGGCGGCGGTCGCTGCTATAATCACGCGAATTATCGCATGGAAGTGGCCGTGGATGGAGTGGTTTGAGTGCGTGTCTGTGTTCGTGTGTTTGTGTGTGTGTCTTTGTCTTTGTATCTGTGTGTAGCGGTAAGCGATTCGAGTTCGATTCCCGCTCACAACACCAGTGACCATTATGTAAACCGGTCCTGGGCCTCCCCGAGGTCGACTCAGCCTGAAATGAGTACCTGGTGCAGTGTGTAAACATCGCCACTGGGGAGACAAAGGCGGCCGGGTGTGGTGTGGCCATCCACTCCCTCGTGTGCTGTGCCGGCCTTCATAGGTGCTCGCTAACAGCACTTGCCCCAACAGTCTGTCAAGGCTACACGGGGGATGTTTGTTTTTGTGTGTGTGAGTGGTGCATCTCAGTCAGTCATCCCATGGCATCTGGGTCTGTCCCATGACCTCCTACCAGCGGGCGTTAAGTTGTAGAGTTGAGTTGTAGAGTTGAGTTGTTGAGTGGTTTAGTTGAATTGTTGAGTTTAACACGTAGGCTTTCGCGACCATTGTTATTTGTAATAAATGTTTGGGTTAGATCGCGTAAGTTTAAATGTCGTAACCCTCCACCACCCGACACAGCCAATAAGGTTTGTCACGTAAACAAAACGCGCCAATTAGTTATTAGTATAGTGTACTTCTTCAGCCCACCGGTGTGTTGGAGGTAAATCCACAACATTTACCATTTGAGTAGTACGACGTTTCGCTGGTAATTACATCCAGCATCATCGTAAGATTTTCCAGAAAACCTTTATCATGAATTTAATTGTTGAGTTGTTCATTTTAGTTGTTGAGTTCAGTTGTTGAGTGGTTTAGTTGGGTTGTTGAGTTAGGTTGTAGGGCTGTATAGTTGTTGAGTTGAGATGTTAGTGGTTTAGTTGAGTTGTTGAGTTGAGTTGTTGTTGACTTATTAGCTGTGATTGTGTACTATTACCAACCCAGCAGCATCAGTGTCACGTCCTGATGTGACGCTGATGCTGATGACAATGCTGATCCTATTTGTGATGATGCTGATGCTGCTACTGATAATGACAATAACGATGCTATTTGTGATTATGCTGCTGATGCTGTTGATGATGATGGCAATGCTGCTGATGCTGCTGCTGATAATGACAACGATGATGATGATGATTACAATCGTGATAGGGACGGCGTTGATAATGATGATTCTGATGATGATCTTGACGATAATTTTGACGATAATGCTGATTATGACAATGGTGATGATGCTGCTGCTGATGATGACGACGGTGATGCTGATGACGATGGTGGTGATGCTGATGACGATGGTGGTAATGACGGCGATGCTGCTGATGCTGGCTGATGATAGTGGTGCTCATGATGATGATGTTGATGACGATGCCTCCACAGAAATACAAGGAGTCAGAGAAGAGGGTGCGGATCGACGAGGTGGATGGCCTGCAGCTAGTGAAGAAGATTGCCAAGAACATGGAAACGATGTTCAGCAAGAAGGTGACTGCGGTGAAGGTGAGCAGATGGGTGAGTGGATTGGTGAGAGGCTGGGTGAGTGGATTAGTGAGTCCACCACGACTCACACACTCGGATTGGTGAGTCCATCCCGACTCACCCTCTCGCATCTCACCGACGCCGCAGATCCTCTGGGAAATCAATGAGTGGGGTGAGTGGCTGGGTGAGTGGCTGAGTCAGTAGATCAGTGAGTGGCTGGGTGAGTGGATTGGTGAGTCCACCCCGACTCACCCACTCGGATCTCACCGACGCCGCAGATCCTCTGGCAGATCAATGAGTGGGTGAGTGGCTGAGTGAGTCGCTGAGTGAGTGGATTGGTGAGTGGATTGGCGAGTGGATTGGTGAGTGGATTGGTGAGTGGGTTAGTGAGTGTACTGGTGAGTGGATTGGTGAGTGGGTTAGTGAGTGCATTGGTGAGTGGATTGGTGAGTGATTGGCTGAGCGAGTGGCTGGGTGAGTGAATTGATGAGTTGCTGAGTAAGTAGCTGAGTGAGTGGATTGGTGAGTGGCTGAGTGAGTGGATTAGTGAGTGGATTGGTGAGTGGCTGGGTGAGTGACTTGATGAGTGGATTGGTGAGTGGCTGAGCGAGTGGATTGGTGAGTGGATTGGTGAGTGGCTGGGTTATTGACTTGGTGAGTAAGTGGCCAAGTGAGTAGCTGAGTGAGTGGATTGGTGAGTGAGTGGCTGAGTGAGTGACTGAGCGAGTAGCTGGGTGAGTGGATTGGTGAGTGGCTGAGTGAGCGGTTGGGTGAGTGGATTGGTGAGTGGCTGAGTGAGTGGATTGGTGAGTGGGTTGGTGAGTGGCTGGGTGATTGACTTGGTGAGTGAGTGGCCAAGTGAGTAGCTTAGTGAGTGAATTGGTGAGTGGCTGAGTGAGTGACTGAGCGAGTAGCTGGGTGAGTGGATTGGTGAGTTGTTGAGTGAGCGGTTGGGCGAGTGAATTGGTGAGTGGCTGAGTGAGTGGATTGGTGAGTGGCTGGGTGATTGACTTGGTGAGTGATTGGCCAAGTGAGTAGCTGAGTGAGTGAATTGGTGAGTGGCTGAGTGAGGGACTGAGCGAGTAGCTGGGTAAGTGGATTGGTGAGTGGCTGAGTAAGCGGTTGGGTGAGTGGATTGGTGAGTGGCTGACTGAGTGGATTGGTGAGTGGATTGATGAGTGGATTGGTGAGTGGCTGGGTGATTGACTTGGTAAGTGAGTGGCCAAGTGAATAGCTGAGTGAGCGAATTGGTGAGTGGCTGAGTAAGTGACTGAGCTAGTAGCTGGGTGAGTGGATTTGTGAGTGGCTGAGTGAGCGGTTGGGTGAGTGGATTGGTGAGTGGCTGAGTGAGTGGATTGGTGAGTGGCTGGGTGATTGACTTTGTGAGTGACTGACTGAGCGAGTAGCTGAGTGAGTGAATTGGTGAGTGGCTGAGTGAGTGACTAAGCGAGTAGCCGGGTGAGTGCATTGGTGAGTGGCTGAGCGAGGGGCTGGGTGAGTGGATTGGTGAGCGAGCCTCATCAGCTACTTTCCTCCAAACTCTGGAGCACGGGCACGCAGGACATATCTGAGCCCCCGGAACCTTAACATGGAGTGGTTGACGCAGGGCACCTCCCGTTGCGTTCCCACCCCCAGGAGTTCCCCTCTGGAGGCGGTGACAGAGAAAAAAATCCTGGAGGTTGTTGGCGCAAAATTAACGAGAGGGATGAGATGTCTTGGTCGATGTCCTGGTGGTGGGGTGGGGGGGTTGAGATGTATTGGTTGATGTCTTGGTGGGGGGGGGGGGGGGTGAGATGTATTGGTCGATGTCTTAGTGGGGGGGGGGGGTGTGAGATTTCTTGGTCGATGTCTTGGTGGGGGTGGAGGGGGTGAGATTTCTTGGTCGATGTCTTAGTAGAGGGGAGGGGTGAGATTTCTTGGTCGATGTCTTGGTGGGGGGGGGAGTGACACGTCTTGGTTGATGTTTTGGTGGGGGGGGGGGTTAGCGTCGTGGTCGATGGAGAGAAAGTTGCGAGACGATGGGGACAAGGGCAGGAGACAACTTGGGGAGAGAGATGTGGGGGAGACATGGGGAGATCTGGGGAGAGAGATGTGTGGAGAGTCAGGTGAAGATATCATCTGGGTAATTAAATCATAAAGTGTGGTGTGGGTGGTGTGTGTGCTGTACACAAACAAATACACACATCCGCCGTGCAGCCTTAACAGACTGTAGGGGCAAGTGCTGTTAGCGAGTAGCAGCACCTATGAAGGCCGGCACAGCACACGATGGGGTGGGTGGCCAGCACCCCACGCCCGACCTCCTTTGTCTCCCTCGTCGCGATGTTTCCCCACCACACCAGGTACTCATTTGAGGCCGAGTCGACCTAGGGGAGGCCCAGGTACCGGTTCAAGATAATCGTCACCGGTGTTGGTGGTGATAGCCGCGAGCGGGAATCGAACTCGGGTGGCCGGGTTCGTGGCTCTGTGGGGGGAGTCCGACCAGGCCCCCCACCCCCCTACCCCCCATCTTTACCCCCCTCCCCTCCTCCCTCCCCTTCACCCCCCTCCCTACCCCCATCCCCCCATCACCGAACATCGTGGATGGTGATCGGGATGGTGATGATGATGGCGATGATGATGGGAATGATGGTGAGGATGATGATGTTGATGATTGTGTTGATGATGGTGGGGATGATGGTGGGGATGGTGATCGGGATGGTGATAGGGGTTGTGATAACGATGATGGGGATGATGATGATGGGGATGATATGAAGGTGGAGATGTCAATGGGGATGTTGATGGGTGTGATGGGGATGTTGATGGGTGTGATGGGGATGTGGATGGGGTTGTTGATGGGTGTAATGTAGATGTTGATGGGTGTAATGGGGATGTTGATGGGCTGTTGATGGGCATGATGATGATGGGGTTGCTCTCATTAAGTTGGGATAATTTTGTTCCGGCAATGCCTCTCTCCCTCTCACTCCTCTCCCCCACCCCCCTCCCCTCTCGCAATTTGCCCGCCCCCCTAAGTGGGGGGGGGGGGGGGGTAGCGATGAGAATGGCGGTAGCGAGTAATTGGAGGCATTATCAAGCGGCGGAGGGCGTGGAAGCAAAACCCGAGTCTGGAGGAGGCGGAGGAGGAGGAAGAGCGACATTGATGCCGAGAGATGGGAGAGACGGAGATTAGAGAGAGCGAGAGAGATAAGAGAGAGATTAGAGAGAGAGATGAAAGAGAGAGCAGGAGAAATGAGAGAGAGATTAGAGAGAGATTAGCGAGAGAAATGAGAGAGATTAGAGAGAGATGAGAGAGAGAGAGACGAAAGAGAGAGATGAAAAGAGATTAGAGAGAGATGAGAGAGAGAGAGATTACAGAGAGAAATGAGAGAGAGATGAGAGAGAGATTAGAGAGAGAAATGACAGAGAGATGAGAGAGAGATTAGAGAGAGAGATGAGAGAGAGAGAAATGAGAGAGAGAGAGAAATTAGAGAAAGATTAGAGAGATAAATGAGAGAGAGGTTAGAGAGAGAGAGAAAGAGATGAGAGAGATGAAAGAGAGAGTGAGAGAAATGAGAGAGAGAGATAAGAGAGAGATGAAAGAGAGAGCGAGAGAAATGAGAGAGAGAGATGAAAGAGAGAGATGAAAGAGAGAGCGAGAGAAATGAGAGATTAGAGAGAGAAATGAGAGAGAGATTAGAGAGAGAGATGAAAGAGAGAGAGATTAAAGAGAGAGCGAGAGAGATGAGAGAGGACAAAGACGTTAGTGGTGAACCAGCTGGTGACGTCCATGCTGTGGCACCGGCTTTTCTCCCTGCACCCCCCTATGAGTCTCGTCAACGCACTTCAGAAGCGAGTCCTCGACTTCTGGTCGGGTGGAGGACACCGGGTCACGGCTGGGGTCCTGGCCCTGCCACTGGACGAGGGCGGTCACGAGCTGGTGTGTGTGCAGAATCAACTGCCAACCTTCCGACTTCAGGCCACGCAAAAGTTCCTGAATGCCGCCCCTGCACCGGCCTGGAGCGTTACGACCTCCTTCCTCCTGAAACAGCTGGGGGGTCTGCAGTGCTCCAAATAACTATTCTACATGGACCTGCAGGGTCTCCCACTGGGACAGCTGCCACCTTTCTACAGGAGCGTCCTGCAGACATGGAGCTCCCTCGCCGTCAGGAGGCTGAACCAGCCGCGATCGGCCGAGGATCTGGTCTTCGAACCGATCCTCAGGAACCCACAGACAACGCTGCCATCCACCACCGCCACCCCAGGCATGGAGAGGCGCCTCGCCAACGCGCGGCTCACCAGAATGGGAGATCTGGTGGAGCCTGAAACACGGAGCCGTTGGCTCGGACCAGCAGACATGGCCGCAAAGACAGGGCTGCAGTCGCTCCGGGTGGCTGCCCGGATTCTGGCCGAAGCCAAGGGGGCCTTCTCAGCGGCAGTGGGGAGAATGCCCCCCATCGGCGTTGGGGATGACGAGGCCCCTCTCGGTCCCCCGCCACTGCATCGCCAATGCCGACAAACGAAGGCGGATCACAACCTGTGCCGGCTGGAAGATCTGCCGGAGGTGGCCTTCGCAAATGTAAAGAGCAAGGTGCTCTACTCCTACATGGTCCGGTTTCACCAACAGGACACCCTGAGGAGCCACAAGGACCATGCCTGGACGAAAGCCCTGGCCCTGCATCTCTCCGGAGGGGCCTCGCTGGAGGCAACTCTACTCCAGCCCGACGTATAACTGTATCGGCGACCTCAGCTGGAGCATCGCCCACGGCACCGTCATCACCAACGCCTCCCTGGCGCGCTTCACCGGCACGTCCCCGGAGTGCCGGTTCTGTGGTAAAGTGGAGACGGTGGCGCACCAATATGTGGAGTGCAAGAGCCTGGACTCGCTGTTCAAGGTCCTGAGAAACATCCTCCTAAGGTTCAGCCTCCACTTCTCCCCGACGGTCCTCATCTTTGAATACCCGAAGGGCAAAGGACCCCAACATCTTCAGGGGCTGGTCAACGTGGTCTTCGGCTACGCCAAGCTTGCCATATACAGGGCGAGGAAG